ATGAAGTCATTAAAACTAATGCTGTACACAATTGTTATGGCCCATCCTCAAATTCTATCCATTTCCTGATCAGCGCACATACTGATACCAGTCAATATGATTCCAATTTGACCAGTGATATTAAATTCCTGGATACGGTAATATTCCAGGTAAGAAAACACCACAAGAATTATGATCAATCGTGATTTGTTTAAATATTGTGTATTCTTAGAGAAGAATTCATGCAATCTGGATTACCAATACTGGAAGTGTAGACTTGTCGTATGTTGTCACAATATGCGATTTGGTGTTCAGTCCTAATTATACTAGCACCATCAATTTTTCAGTAAGTTACAAAATATGTATATGTATCTTTACTAGAAAAATTTTAAATACCATATTATATTTTCAGTCAACATCCTTGATGAAAGAATCCCCACAAGTTTCAAATCAGGATAAAAACTTAGTAAATTTAGATGAAGTTCTGACGGATCAAGAGTTGGCAGACGTGCATATAACAAAAATTCTACAAGCTTTGAGCACTGATGGCGCAAAAAGTCCAGGAAAAGATCTACTTGAAGACCTAGTGTCACTAAAGAGCAAAGGTAAAAACGATCATTATGATACGTAGGTATCATAAACTATAATCTTTTACTTTAGATCAGGATATTTGTTCGCGCTCTGAAACTGTCGAAAGTTCTATATTTTCTGTCAATCCAAGATGTCAACGTCCTTGTACTTGGCGGCCGGCACCGCACGCAGAATTTTGTTTCAGAGATAATAAATCTCAGGATGATGATGGACGATTCTTGTTACCAGTTGGAGAAACTGCAATCTTGGACGTTTTGTTTGACCCAACACATGTAGGAGATTATAAAGCGAGTTTTGTGATCAACTTTGAAAACACTGAAGAACACAAGGTAAGTTTGGTAATTGACTTAGCACAAATGTATGCCTAATTGTGTATTTTTTCAGAAAACTATCAAAATCCAAATGTTTGGCAAAGCTGTAGAACCTTACTGTCTGATTCTGTTACCGGAAATTTATAAAGACATGGATAATCCTGATGTTGGACAGGCCAGGCTTATCCAATTTCATGAACAAATCTTGAATACAACCAGTATAATGTAGAGGAATAATTAAAACCAAAAAATATGCAAAACGATGTAGCTAATACTATTTCGCCTTTTCCAGAACTTTTGAAATACTGAATTGCACCTGCGTCAGCTACATTATAAAATGGCACAAAATTCCAATTGAAAAAATTGATGATAAAAGTGCTTTCAAATGTTTGACTCCGGAATTACCGGTAGACAGTGGGAAAAGAACCGTTTGCAAATTCAGGTAAGACTTAATAAAAAGGTATTAAAATCATTATAGATAAAAATATATAGATTTTGTATATAATACTCAGAACGATTTACAATTAGATAAAAAAAAATGCATTTTCTAGAAGCATTTTCTGAAGTAGCTAATTAAAGTATTATAATGAGCAATTAACAATTAATATGAAAAGTGGATGCAGATTATTTGATAAAACACACTTCATTATTTCCCGAAGCAGAAGTTTATATTTGTATAAGAAATATAAGTTAACTTTAAGTTCGCCTATAAGATTCGGTTAAATTAGAAAAAAATATTAAGCAATAATAGGCCATGTTTTTGCTTCGAGGCAAAATTCCACTTCTAACAAGATTGAAATGTGATTTATAATAAAGAACGTTAGATTAAATATGAAAATTATAAGCCTTTTACGAAATCGTATTTTATAAAGTGGACTTTGATATACAATTACATTTTATAATATACATATATATATATATATATATATATATATATATATATCGCATGACGTGTAATATGCATTAAATTAATTATCAAAAAATCGCCCTTGAAGTTATAATTAATAATGTTATTTAAAAATAAAAATCAATTTCTCAAGTTTACGATTGCATCTTGTAGACGTTTTAATTGCATTTAATGTGTTCGTGGCATGTTTAAAAAAAACCTTGGATTTATATATATACATAAAAAAATCTCTCACTACTCTTTGTCCCTCCACACTTTCAATCATCGTAATTGGGGTACCCGGGGTACCCCCCATCCCCCAAAGCCCGTAAAGTGTAACAGTTTTAACTCCAAGTACATGTACAGTATGTAAACAATAACAGCCAATTCGATTACTCTATTTTATTGCTATGAACCTCGGAATGGAATTTAATATGCTAACCTTACTAATTATAAACTAAACTTCACTAATTCAACTTTTAGCGACTCCATTATAAACAACAACAATGCATGTTTCCGCCAGAACTACCCAGTGGTACAAACTACATCATGAAATCATAGACATGAACTTTATATATTAGGGTGGTCCTTAATATGGATATTTTTGAATTTTTTTGCTCCCAAGCGCTCAAATGATTCCAAATTGATAAAAAAAAATCTCTGGAAGTTTTAGCTCTTAATATTAACTTTAAGATAGTTCGCACCCCAACCAAAGATATACAAGTTGACAGCAAAGCCCACATGGCAGTGAAAAAATAATATACGTTAAATAAAGTTAAATTATATATATATATATATATATATATATATATATATATATATATATATAGGGTCCGCCAAATAACTTTTTTTTTGAAAATTCTATAAAAAAAAATACTGACTTTTTTTTTTAATTTAAAATAATAGTTTTGGTTTGTAAGGGAAATGCAAATGGTAGCCTAACTTTTAAATGGTTGCCAAAAAATCAAAATGGATGCCAAAAAAATCAAAATAAATGCCAAAAAATCAAAATGGATGCTAAAGATTCAAAATGGCTGCAAAAGTTAGATGGCGGACCCTTTATCTATATATATATATATATATATATATATATATATTCTTATATTAACATAGTTTGAATCTGATATTTTTCCTTATATCAATCATTTTTCTAGTTTTACATTAAAAAAATGCATTTCTATCATAATTTTAGGTTTATGCACATATCATTTATCAAAAATGAAAAAAATGCAACGGGCGCACACGAATACATGATTAATCAACACAAAGATTGTATCGAATGTGAATTTGCATAAAAATCTGCATATATAAGATTGCCATGATTATATATATATATATATATATATATATATATATATATTTCTGTATATATATTTCTGTTGTGTGTAAACTAATAAACGTTTACATCTGAGACATCTGCAGAAGTTGTAAGAGGGCCCCATTAACAACACTTGTTTTTTGGAAATGTTGAAATAACTAAGAATTAAAAAAATAAATAAAAAGTTCACAATCACCCCACCAAAAATTTTGAAAAATTATCACTGGATCCAATTAATTATAACTAAATACTTAATAGTAAATAATTAATTATTATTTTACAGCTTCACTCCAACTACGATTGGTGAAAATTCATCATTTTGGTATATGGAAATTGATAAACAACCAGGAATGGATTGGAAATTTTTAACCATTGGAAATGGCTTAGAAAATAATTTGGAAGATGATAAAAAACAAGAAATTCTTGAAGATCCTAACAAACCTTTTATCTTTGATAAACTTTAAAAATTAAAATAAATATTAAAAATCGTATTTTTATTTATGAGGATTTTCTTTAATTTCTGATGTCAAAACTTTATTATTATTTGATTGAGTAATTAAATGAAAGTTTCCATCCTTGTTCGTAAAAAAATAAATATTTAATATTAAAAATAAAGTTTAGCTTCTTGACGAGTAATTCACAAATTAAATCCTATTTATTGTTAATTCTATTTATATATTATAAATTCTATTATATTAAAATATTGTATTTTTATTTATTAATTATTCATTGGTAATAATTAATTAATAATAATAATAATAAACTATACTAGTTTTGTTTTTAATTTAAAAAAATGATTCAACCACACATATTATTTATTATCATTAAACATTTTAGATAAACTTTTCAAACAGTCCTTCTGTAATTATTTAACATTTGTTTTTACAAATTTATTTTTAGGATTCAATTTGAAAAATTATCCGAAATTTACACACATTAAAACAGAAATGCACAATATTAAAATTTCGAAAGACCAATATAAATAAATTAATAAATTTGTCGCCATTTGAACGATCGTATGGAAATTTGTTTATACACCATTAGAAAGAAGTTTGTATACCTTCTGGTTTGTTTAATCAGTCTATATTCAACAAATTTTAAATTTGAGGAATTTGAGTTCATACAGAAGAGTTCTTATTCCAATCTGATGTTCATACTAAAAGCATTCCAAAAGTTTGTCCATCCATTCAGTCAACATCCAATAAAATCATCTCATTTTTGTGCAACATCATAAGACTTTGCCATAATTAGCATTTGACTACAAGTTACATCATTATCCAAACAATACTTCATATGTTTATTCATTTATCCATTTTTTCAGTGGACATCCAATAAATCATCATCTGCAATCATTTCACCAAAACACCCTTTACAGAGTATCAACGAAAATAACTATATTGATTCAATTATCCGATATTCATCCAAAAGGCATTCATACCCATTGGACAGAAGTTTGTCACTCATTCAGTCACCACTCAATTTATTTATCTCATTTTAGTGCAATATCTTAAGAATTTGACACCATCCACATTCGGCCACAACCTCAATTACAAAGTATTAATAAAACCATCAAATCACTACCATTTGAAAAACTTGACGCACTTAACAGGAGCCCAAAACCTTTTCAAGATAGGAATGAATTCAGTTGCCCAACAAATAGCAAACATCAAAAACGTCACTGAAATCAATGTGAATGCATATTCGTGACGAGGTATCAACAATACATGAAAATAATCCCGGACAGCATTGAAAGTACTTTGAATCGTTCTATTTTCATCGCATGTTGGTGAGGTTTGAATCTCATTATCCACATAATAAACCATAGTTTCATTCATGTATTGAGGGACTAAAACATCAAGATATCAGGATATCAGGATACCAGGATAAAGACTTATCAAGTATAAATTCCACTTACCACTTTCATCAGCAATGTTTGGAACTTCCGGAACATCTTCTGCATTCGCATAAACTTGGTTGTTTAACTCAGTATCATCAGAAAACCATTCCTGGTCATCATTACCAGTAAGCAATCGTTCAGAATCATCTTCATAATAATAGTCCTCATCATTAGCATCATACACCTGGCGATTTAATAACAATTGTATCACTTTCAATTTTATGAATGATTGGATAAATAGTCAAAACTATTACATACTTGACTCATTTTGGTTTTGTTGTCTTCATATCCTGATTTACGCTTAGATTCAATCACACTCATATGTTGTTGAACAGCAGGATCCATATAACTCTTTCTGTTCGTTTGAGGCCTTGGAGCAGCAATCATTCGTTCAGCTGAAAATAGTTACAAAAGATTTATAATATATTAATAAATAGAAAGATTTATTACAAGATGTTACATAGTTCTTGCATGTCATCAGTTTTGTAGTCCTGGGACATTTCTTGGGCATAGAGTGAAGGCTCTTTCGGTTCTTGCAGAGACTTTCTTGGTGAATACATTTGAGCCTGAAAACCGAAAACAATTAAGTATTATTTCTATAATTTTATTTATTAAATACAGTAATAAAAATGATTAAAAACTAGAGTTTGTCGGTTTTCAAAAACCGATTTTAAAAACCGGTTTTTTGGCTAAAATGATGGAATTCGAAAACCGGTTTTTTAGTGAAAAAAGTCGGTTTCCACTGTATAAATGGAAAATGACAAATATAGCCAAAAAGATAGATGAAAGCGTTTTGATTCTTGAAATCATATCGGTTCAATAGCATTTGATATCTTATCAGTCTGCAATGGTTTCCAGACAGGTTTTGTATATATTAATTTACATTTTTATATAGTGTATATATTAATTTAAATCAGTGTGACTTCTTGAAGAAGTAACTACCTCTACTCAAACTTTAAAAAACGTGTTTTAAACCCTAGAAGCCACAAATTAAAGAACAAAAAACTTAAAATTATTATATCGGGCTTTAAAATCAGTTAAGCCTAGTTCGGGTGAGAGAGTATTTTACATTTCAAGAAATTTTGTGAGTAAACAAAGGACACGTATAAGTAACAAATCGATAGATGTTCTTAGATTTTTATAATTTATATTTGATTAAACAAAAATATAATCAGAATTTTGAACATTAAATAATTAAAATTGCTTGGAATAGAAAATACTCGGAGTTTAACCTAATTGTTTTTAAAACTAAAATTGATATTAACAAATATGTATCAACATGTATCTGATATTTTTTTAATTTTTTTAATTCAATGATACTTTTTTATTTAAAAATGTATTATTTTTATTTATTCGAAAACTTTCCTTTCGCTATCATAAAAATATTTTCATTCTTATATGTGTAAATGATGCCTGAATAATTATTTTCAAGGTTATTTAATCAAGATAAACTATTATTTTTTAGTTCTACTAATTAAAATGAAAATAATTTTGTTTACTATCCATAAAACTGAGCAATAAATAAATTCAGTCAAATACTGCTCAAAATCCCACTAAATTTGTGGATAAATTACAGAATATTCGAGCGAAAATTTATTTTCTACATAAAATTCGAAAACTGGCTAAAACCGGTTTTTTAGTAAAATTAAAATTCGAAAACCGGTTTTCTGAAATGTCGGTTTTTGTATAAACCCTATTAAATACATTTGTACTAATATTGAAGTAATGCTTACCATGCGCATTTAAGCCTAAGTAGAAATGCATGAAATGAGATGTTTTAGACTTGGAAGACATGGCAAGCGTTCACAATTTTTTAATGTGATTCATCTAAAAGTTGCTACATTTCAATTCTCATTAAGTGGATTAAAAAATCAATATCGACAAGAAAAATACTCAAGATTTTTATTGCTTAGAGATGAAATTGCCCTATTACCTCTTCAAATGATGATGGTTCTGAATTATTATCATATTGATCATCGGATGGTTCTCGATTGTAAATTCTTGTTCTGTTTGTTGATTCTTGAATAGTGACACGACGATTTAAATTCGTTTTTGGCTGATTACTAAAACAGATAGAAATGAATTCTTAAAAATAAAATTTTTATCTTAGAATAAAAATCAAACGGATATCCTTGACTAATTACTGAAAATAAAGAAATGTGTTCTTGAATTGAACACATTTCTTTAGAACATCACCAAACATATTTGACCTGTATAATCTGAACTTTGTAAGTGAGAAAATATTAAATTAAATATATAAATATAAATAAAAATTATAATTTACATCATATTCGACATCAATCGTAAAAAAGTAACTTTTTTTAACAAATTTGTTTTTTTTCCTATTATCTGGATGGATGCCTGCATAATATATAAATATATATATATATATATATATATATATATATATAAATCTGTGTGTGTGTGCATATGTGTCAAATGTATATTTGCGTGCATAATAAATCAGAAATGGAGTACTATTAATCTTTTAAGTTTCTTCTATCGTGCCGAAAGGTTGATTCTAAAATGTATTTTTAATACAAGCGACATCATTGAGGTGTGCACTAAGGAGAATTGTATATACACAGTAGAACGCCGTTAAGACGGCCATGCTTAATACGATTTCTCGCATCATACGCCACTTCACGCCAGTCACTTTAAATCGTATTTTTATTTCCTTATTAACTTTTTTAATTAAACCATGTATGTCTATGGATAAACCCTGGTTTATATAAATATACTAAAATAGTAGAGGCGTACGACAAGTGGTAACATTATAAAAATCAATTGAAGTTTAAATTAATCAGGCAGGTGTTCGTTTTCCACTAATGTGTAATGAAATCGAAAAATCTGCAAAAGTTTCTCACATTATGACGTCCTACAAGAACTCGATATAATTATAAAACTAGTAGGGCGCATGGCATCGTGCCTTAAGACAAATTGCTAGAACTTCCCGTACCAAAAATTATTATTTTTTTAAAAAGACTAACATTTTTGATAAAATTTTACTTTGAAAAAATTAGATTTTTGAGATACTATAAATTTGACAAAAAATTACTTTTTTTTTGAAAAAAGGTGTTTTCTTTATTTTGACATATTTTGGAAATTCTGATCTTTTTTTCAAAGCAATCATACTGCTTTAACTGTATAGAGACAAACTGTAAAAGCGCGTAAGCGCCGCGACGCCGTCTAACGGATGAACATTGGTACGGAACATGAGAATGTAAACAAAATTTATACTTATTGTTAAAATCTCTATAAAATATCTAATAATTTGATGTGCATATGTCTAATGATCATTTTTCACCGCCAAATGGCATTTTTTTACTTTTTTCACTAGATCTCCGAAACCGCTAGACCTGCCTTCATGAAAACTTGATCAATTCTTCATCTTGTTAATACAAGTAAAATATTTTTTGAATGATTCAAATCGGACGCTCCGTTCTCTTAAAAACTGAGTTAAAGTTTTTGGCACTTTTTGCCACGTATCTTCGGAACGGCCAGACCTGCCTTCACCAAAAACTAATCAGCACGTCTCCTTATCAATACGAATCAAATGTTTTTTGAATTATTCAAATCGGTTCATCGGTGTTTCCAAAATCGTCGACGAAAATTTGTATCCGCACACACACACATACACACACACATACTTACATACACACACACATACTTACATACACACACATACATCCATTTTTTCTAAGGTATGCCGAAATGTTCAGAAACCTCTAAAACGTAAAGATATATAAAAATTTTCATTTTCGATTTTTTTGCGATTACTATAACTTGCCCTACGCGAAGTTAACAATAATAATTTAATATATAATAATTAAGTCGATTATTTATTTACACATGTCGGGAAGTTCATGCAACTTGTCACTTCTAAGTTTAGTTATATTCTCCTTGCTTCTTATCCTCCATGGTCACCCTCCTCCGCCCCATCGTGTCTCCAGGGTGCCCCCAACCAACGACATGTAATGTAGTCGTCGTCGTTGATAAATGCACGTTTGTGGCGAATTTGTATTCGTTCCGTGCATGTGAAACTTTCGAACGGGGGCTATTTAATAATGTGCCCCCCCTAGCATTTCATTTTTACAATATTGGATGCACAATTGTACATATAAATATAGATTTTAAATTAAACTAATGACTATAGAAAGACTAGAGATTGAAATCGAAGACTATTGAAGACAAATATTAGATGGAACAATATTTGTTCTATAGGGATAATTTTTAGTGTGTGTATGTGTGTGTGTGTGCATGTATGTATGGATACAAATTTCCAGTCACGTTTTCGGGCGCACGGATCAACCCGATTTGAATGGTTCAAAAAACATTCGATTCCTATCGATAGGGAAAAGAGCTGATTAGTTTTTGGCAAAGGCAGGTCCAGCCGTTTCGGAGATACGGAGCAAAGAGTGCAGAAAATAGAAATCGACTTTTTGAGAGAACGGAGTATCCGATTTGAATGACCTAAGAAACATTCGATTTGTAATGATTGGGTGAAGTGATTATTAGGTTTTGGCAATGGCAGGCCCAGCCATTTCGAAGATACAGAGCAAAATATGCAAAAAATGGCAGTTTGTGAGAGAACTAAGCGTCTGATTTAAATGATTCAAAGGACTTTCTGCTTGTCCTAACAAAATAATTGATCTTGAAAAAAAATCTTGTTGCAACATTTTTTCTTTTAAATTTTTGTATATCGAAAATAATTCAGATTTTATTTTTAATTCTGACTATAGTTCTAATATACTTTACAAATAATTTCAACTTTGCAATTCAGTTTATAAATTCTTATAAATATTAGACAATGTTACAATATTTATAATAATCTATTCGAAAACATTCAGTATTCCTCGAACATTTCGTTACGGTACGGGAAGTTCCAGCAATTTGCCTTAAGGCACTATGCCATACACCCCACTAGTTAAACTTGATATTGTATGGTTTGTTTTTCTCTAATTATAAGGCAAGATGCATGAATTTCCTGACATGTGTAAATAATCGATATTCAGTAATAAATTGCTGCATTATTTTATTATAAGTAAATAGGATTGAGGTAGGGCATTATAATGTTAGAACTAATAAAGTATTCAATTTTATGCCAAACGTGTTAGTTATTTTGACAAATAGTTCCAATATTAAACATTATCAAAGCAAAAAATGATCAAATCGAATCATCTGCCAAACTGTCTATTTTAAATTGTAGTTTCAAAGTATACCAATACTCAATCTGCATTAATGCACTACGACTACATAAATCCTAAATAAAAACTGAAACCAAAAAATTTCTCAGCATTTTACCTCCAATAAGACTGTTGTCCTCTGTCCTCGTCCATCTCAGCAATTGGTTGAAGATACCGATTACTCATCCTAGCATCCATTGGATTCATAACCCTGGACACGGATCTACCTAAAACAAGGAAAATTTTATATCAGAAGCCAGTTAGTACCAAAAGAAAAAACAATTGTACCACAGCTGGAGCACTACCAGATTAAACAATCAATAAAGAAATATCTTAATTTGGCGATTGTATACAAACTACATCGGGGGTCCAATTTAATACTAAATGGTATATTTATAGATCAGAAATATCTAAATTCGCCCACTGCCTTATTTTAAACTGAAGTATATCAGGAATCTAATCAGACATATAAATTGGGCCACTAGTAAACCAACATAAATCAGAAGGCCAATATACTGATAACAATTACCTCCTAGTCCAGCATTAGACATCATTCGATTTTGTACAGTTTTTTGATTTTGATTTAGGGAAGGATTAGAACGGAAATCAGATGTCGACTTGAACATCTTACTAGTTCTTGGCATGTTCAGATTACTTGTTCGTGGCATCTGAAATAGAATTTTCCAACATAGTTTAGACATTATTTAATGGAAGGTTATAATCTTTATAATTTTTATACAAATACATTCTCACCGATTTTCTGGATCTGGACAGATTATCATTGGGCGCAGCCATTGAGAATTCTGGATGATAAAGTTAATTTAATTGCAAAACGTGCATGTAGTTTACAAATCCTGAACTATTTGATTAATATATATATTAGGTTAAAAATCTACTTACTCTTCTCTCTCATGGTCTCTGAATCAGCTGCAGGCATAGTAACAGATGAAATGTTGCTCTTTGCTCGTGGTCGGCCTTCTGCTTCAAAATTTGGTACACTAGGTTGTATCAAAGCAGAACCGGTTGGGCCAATTGCTGATGGAGCAGGAGAAAACATGCCAGATTGAGGTGGTATCAGAAAGGAAGATGGACGAGACTGCATGGTTGAGGAAGCAGGCGGCATCATATCATCAGGATTAACTTCGGTTATAAACCGTTCATCTGGTATTTCCTCTGTACAACTCTTCGAAGCATCTCTAATTACACAATAGAAGCTTAACAATAAATAAGGCCTTCAAATTCTAATTTGAACTATGTCGTTTCTTTACCCAAACCAGTTCCTTGTTGATCCGTTTTCCCCAGTCATGGTACTAATCTCGGCCGTAGATTTTGACCAATTGCCCATAGTTGATGGATTCACATTGACGCACATATCTCTGTACGTCGGCGATGACAAAGAATCAGGGTAATAATCCAATGTTTCCGTATACTGATTTCTAGACATCTGTAAAATAAATATAAATAAACAACGAATTAAATAAAAGTCATAAATTAGTTTTCTTACCACATTTGGTTGCCATGTCACTTGTTCTCTGCGAGGAGTCATTATGTACGAAGGATTTACTGCCTGATCACAAAATTCTTTCACAGAAATATTTTTTGGGCACGTCGTAACTGCAACACTCGCAGTAGCTGGTTAAACAAATACATATGTTGAAAAAAGCACAGAAATACATCTATTATCATTTTTGTACCTGGAACTCCAATCTTCGAAATAATTGGAGATACACCAGTAGTGGTTCTGGGTCTAACACATGGGCATCCAGATTGTTCAGACCTTGAAAAAAAATAATTACAGAAAACTGAAAATTTACTTCATAGATCATCCTATAAAATTACTTTGGTGGTAAGATCACTGAAAGTGTAGCAGTCACTCCTTGCTCTATAGCTGAAACACCGGTATTCACCATCAACGGAGCTATAGGGTCAACAGTTTTCGTCCCCACATCATTCATCAAAAACATGGGGCAGAGAGCATCCGAGCCAGTGGTAATGGTTGTTGATAGCGCCTACAGGAAAAAATGAATATAAATAATATGTCCACAAACAAGTCTACTCGTATAGTTCTTAACCTGATGCTCCAGTTCTTGTACGGTCTGCGTCATATCATCTGCCAAGAAATGTTTTTCTTTTATATGTTTACGATATGCACAAATTAGTCGTGGACAATCGTAACTCGGACAGCCTTTTGGAGGTGGATCAACAGAAGAATCTGCGCATTTGCAGGTTGACGTCGAGAATTCGCGCCGGTTTCGGGTTTTGGCAGATGGGCATTGGTTTGCTTTGGATTCTGAAAAAATAAACAGTGCACTAGTATTTTGTGAAAAATGCGGTTATTGCTACGTACCATATATAACTTTTGGTGTGATAATATCACGTCCCGTAGATGTTGCTTTAGTAGATTTTAGGGGAGCAGGTGATCGCTCATATAATGGTTGACTGCAACCTGAAATTAACCAAAATTAGAACAAATATTCAATATTAGCATTGAGATTTCCTAATACCTCTTCTGGTTCTCTTCTTGGAATTCTCACAAATAACTCTGCATCTTTGACTGTTGTTGTAAAGAATTTCGGAATCACAACAAAAATTATCGTTGGAATCACAGATATCTATATTAGAATCTTCGAGTCCAATTGCAGAGTCACAATAGTCCAGTGAAGGGTAATTACAAGAACAACAGTTACATGGTATATTTCTACGTTTTAGGTGGTGACTGCTGTCACCATCTGGAAAAAGCATTTACCATTAAATTTTCCAAGAAAGGGGCCGTTCAAGTATTACGTAAGCACTCAAGGGGGGCGGGGGGGTTATTGATTTGCTTATTTTGGGTAAGAACTTTTGCTTACTTTTGCTGACAAAGGGGAGGGGGGGGGTAAATAATTGTAATAAATCTGCTTACGTAATACTTGAACGATCCCAAAGTGTTTGTTTCTGCCAAAATTATGATTTGATTATGCGTTCTCAACTTTTAAAGTCATTCTGAATCATTTCAACCAAAATTGGATGAAGTGAGTAAGCATTTGCGCATAGTTTTAAAATTAGATATGTGTGCGGAATCCTTACCTATGTGTCGTTTCTCCCAAAAATCCAATCTTTTACCAAAAGACATGGTTACGAACAAAAAACTAATAAAATTGTATCTAGTAAAAAAAACTTCACATGATTCTAATCCGTCGTTCTAATTTGTGTGCAAAAAGTAAATGTGCATCTCTGTAAATTGCATTTTTTTGTATTTTTTTAAATAAATTTATTTACCGTACATTTTGATGTCAATATTTTTGGCGGCTGAGAATTTTGTTTATTATTTGAACTTCAAAACAATAGATTTAGCATACTTTGATTCTAATTGTTTATTCCCCAAGGCAGTGTTTTGGTGTCATTTCTTTAAGATTTATCGATATAGAAAAGCATTTTACGTGGTATAAACATCTTTTTAACGAACTTTTCAAGATACAAGACTTGTATGTTATTTTATAAATTATATAAATTTTATAGATTTATAAAGAAATATAATTTTTAACTTCCCGTAGGGTAAGTTATTGTAATGGGCCGAAAATCGAAATTGAAAATTTTTACATTTCTCGACGTTTTGAAGGTTTCTGAACATTTTGGCATACCTCAGAAAAAATGGATGTGTATGTGTGTATGTATGTATGTATGGATACAATTTTTCGTCCACGTTTTCGGGCGCACGGATCAACCGATTTGAATGGTTTAAAAAACATTCGATTCCTATTGATAGAGAGGAGAGCTGATTAGTTTTTGGTAAAGGCAGGTCTAGCCGTTTCAGAGATATGGAGCAAAGAGTGCAGAAAATAGAAATCGAGTTTTTGAGAGAACGCAGTATCCGATTTGAATGATCTAAAGAGCATTCAATTAGTAATGATTGGGAAAAGTGTTTATTAGTTTTTGGCAGGCCCAACCATTTCGAAGATACGGAGCTAAATATGTAAAAATGGTAGTTTTTGAAAGAACTAAGCGTCCAATTTAAATGATTCAAAGAACTTTCTGCTTGTCTTAACAAAATAATTGATTTTAGAAAAAAAAAATTGTTTCTTTTTTTTCAAAAAAAAAAAAATTGTATATCGAAAATAATTCAGATTTTATTTTTAATTCTGACTATAGTTCTAATATATTTTAAACAAATAATTTCAACTTTGCAATTCAGTTTATATAATTCTTATAAATATTAGACAATGTTACAATATTTATAATAATCTATTTGAAAACATTCAGTATTCCTCGAACATTTCGTTACGGTACGGGAAGTTCCAGCAATTTGCCTTAAGGCACAATGCCATACACCCCACTAGTTATATAAAAATTTTGATACGTTTAACGATCAGATATGCAAGTGCTTTTCTGTAAAAGTTCCTTCGTAATTATTATATGAAAAACAGTTTTATGAAACTTTGCATAGTGATGAAATTCATGGTAAGCCATGAATTTCCTTAAATATTGTGGCCAGCAAAAAGTAGTTAAATTATGAAAATTCTTATAAATGAATTGTTTTTTCTTAATACATATTGAATCAGAACAGTTATATTCTATACCCCAGATTGATAATTCTAATCCGCATTTTGGAGGAGTATCGGAAAATTCATGCAAATTGCCTTAAGGCAATTGACGCTTACTACTATTTAGATTTATTCTGAACTTCTAGTTTGAATTATAATATAGTGTATATTGTATGAATGTATATATATATATATATATATATATATATATATATACAAATAAATACATTTTCCGGAGTTTGCGCATTTGAATTCGCCCACAAGTAGATTTTCCTGACACGTGAACGAACGCCAGTCGAATCCGTTCGTTCAAAGTGGACGCACGTCCAAATTGCGTCCAATTCGAATTTCGAGACCAAAATTACGCAAAAAAAAATAAAATTAAAAAAAATTAACACAGTGACGAATTACTACGAAATATATAAATATTGTAAAAATTTTAAATCTCAAAAAATAAATCAGACTTTTCAGTAATTAATCAAAAGTGGTAACAGTTGTAGGGGTCTTATACTAATAAAAAATTTTATTTTAATAAAGTTTTGACTAAATTCAAATATGTGACGAAATATTGAAGAGTGGTGTGAATTATTATTTTTGTAAAGGTACGTCATGTTTTTAAAATATAAGTCTAAATAGATATAATTTATTTTTAGAACCACTAATATCATTTTTCCCTACTAATAGAATATAATAATAAATAATTTATTTCTTTAATTTATAATTTTTTGTGTTCTTATTTGTGATATATGAATAATTATCCATAATTATCAATAATCGTTTAAGAACTATTTTAAGGTTCAATAAATAAGAGTGATTTTTAATATAATATAAGATCATAATATGCATATAAAACGATTTAAATTTAATAATAGAATAATCATTGATAATTATTAATATATAATAAAAACACTTTTTATATAGTTTATGATTACAAAAAAATGAGTTGTATAGAAGTCGGTTGTATAAAAGTGATTAAGGCAAGATTTATAAATAATTTTATACATAAAACAATCTAAGTAATCGTTAATATTTATTATTATTATTATATATATATATATATATATATATATATATATAGATGGGTCAAATCAAGACCCGAAACGTATGTTCTCTGAATTTTTTTTATTTCTGCTAATTTTAACAATCAGATTACAATACAATCTATAAGTTAAAAGTTATGGTATTGAAAATCAAAATCAAGAGAGAAAAAAAATAGAATAAAAGAAATTAAAGAAAAGAAATAGAATAAATAAATGACTAAATAATAATTAAAAAATAGTATTAATAATAAAAACGATAAATGTTCTCTGAATAAAAACATTTTCTTTCAATAAAACTGTTTTTAATTACTGGATATATATATATATATATATATATATATATATATACATAATTAAATCAATTTAATACACTTTTTTGTATTTTTGAATGATAAAATGGTCGTAAGCCTCGATCAGCCAAAATAAAATTTCCCTACGTTGAATTTTTGATATTATGCATCACAATTCATAATTCATCATAATTCGTAATATATATATAATCATCATTCATAATTCATCATAATTCGTATAACTATTTCGATTTTAAACCATTTGATTAATATGAATTATGTATTCGACAAATGATTTGAAATTGAATTTTCTACAATATTCTTTAACACAATTAGTACGTATATCAACTCGCTCTACTTTAAAAATACGATTATAAATTGATTATCGATTTTGATTGAAATAAATGATTTCCTTACCCTTCCGTCGTCTATCATTCTCATTACCTCTATTCCCTCCCCCCTTTTTCGTGTAATTTCCTTTCCAAACTTCTGCTTCCATGCTTCCTGATCCTGCGCTTCGACTTTCAGTTCCCTGTATTTTCTCCTCTATTTATACTAATATATTAATACAAATAGCATTTGCAAAAAAGAGGTTAGTATTGAAAGTAGTTTTTTTTGTAGAAATTTTCAAAATTTGATCAACATATTTATTATATCGAGCCATAGCTCTAGCCATATAATTTATTTTAAAAATACACTAACAACAAATGGACAAAAATATTACCCTCAGAAGATTTGCAGAATCTTGTTTATTCAACCATGTTGAAATACATAAGCTCTGCTCCTATATTTTTTTTTTCAAAATTCTTACAAATTTATTAAATTATTACAAAAAACTTTAACAAAAAGGTTTGGCATTATAAAGTAATATTTTGCATAGTCTTGCCTTAATGGAAATTTTTTATGTTATCATCTTATGTTTTTATAACAAATATGTTTTTTCTGGTTTTTAAAAAAAGCTTTTAAAGAAAACGATGAACATATGGCGACGAAGAACACGCCCTAACATGACACATATTGCAGGATAAAAATATCTAGAAAAAATATATATCTTAAAGTATCTCAAAAAAATCGTAAAATTTTTAAAAAATATTTTTGTATCGTTGAAAAGTTTAGTAAACTGAAAAACATCTTGTTGAAACATATTTATATTGATATGATAATAAAGAAAAAATAAAAATGCCATTAGCGAGTCATCGTGTTTTTTATTTAATTTTTTAAAAATACCTCAATAAAGTTATGAGAGTTTTGTAAA